CCCCTTCTCTGGCCCTTCCGTGGAGAGTGGCCCCCGGTTTGCAGGCTGTTTTTTGTTTTGTTTTCTACTGATTTCAGAGAGGAAGGGAGAGGGAGAGAGAGATAGAAACATCAATGATGAGAGAGAATCATTCATCGGCTGCCTCCTGCACACCCCCTACGGGGGATCAAGCTGCCACCCAGGCATGTGCCCTGACCTAGAATCGACCTGTGACCTCCTAGTTCATAGGTCAATGCTCAACCACTGAGCCACACCAGCCGGACTAGACGGCTCTTTCTAAAATGCAAATCAGACCCAAAGCTGAAAGGCTGCTTCTTCAGTGACTCCCAAGGCCTCGGGTTCAAGGCCCTTCCCTAGCCAGCTCCCAGTCCCATGTGCCTCTCTCAGCAGCGGACTTGCCGGAGAACCAGGAGTGGCCTCCCCCAGGGACCGGGCTGCTTCTGCTGGGAACAGGGTCCCCTACCGCCGTGGCAACGCTCTGCCTGTCCGCCGCTCTGTCTCACTCCGCCCTCCCAGGGACCTTTCCTTGGCACCCAGGCCGGCGGGAGGGAGCGGAGTGGTCTGGCGGCAGCTCTGCACACACCTCCATCTCCCACACTGTGTGGTGAAACTGCCCATCGGACGGTTGCTTTCTGCTCTTTGTTTCCTATTGTTGCTACAAAGCTACTAGCTTCGAGCAGCAGGCATTTCTTATCTCCCGGTTCTGGGGGTCAGAAGGCCGGAATGGCTCTCACGGAGCCAGATCGGGGTGTCAGCGGGTCTGCCCTCCCGGTTCTAGGGCAGAGCTCGTGCCCTTGCCCCTCCAGCTTTTAGAGGCCACTCGCTTTCCTTGGCTCATGGCCCCACCTTCCATCTTCAAAGCCAGGAGGGTAGCATATTGGAATCTTCAGATTTTTTTCCCCTCTCTCTCTCTCCCTCTGGGGCACCAAGAGCAATGGAGAGGGCAGGACACACTGGCTCATTGCTCCTGGGCTGAGCGGCAGCAGCTGTGGGCCACTGGGGCTCCTCCTGCCCCCCACCCCCTCCCAACACCATGGCACCCAGCTGCCAGGCCCATCCCTAGTGGACATAGGGCAGCCCCCTCAATAGCATCCCAACAGCCTGGAACCCCTGCCCACAGCTCCTTAGAAACAACCAACTTGAAGGAGGGGAGGCGTCAGGGACCTGGGGCAGGACACCTGGGGCCTTGAGCACAGGCCTCACCCGGTCTGGGTGCCTCACAGCACGGTCCTCCTGAGAGGAAGGACTGCTCCCTGGTGTCCTACCGCCACTTAGCAACAGGATTTGAACCAGGCCTGACCGATGCCACCCTTTCAGGGTGCCCGAGTGGGGAGTGAGGCGGATGCACAGAGACCGGAAAGGAGGGTGGGGCCCCATTCTGCCCAACAAAGCACTGGCCGGGGTTGATGAAGGCCAGGAGGCTGGGCACAGTGGCCTCTGCCAGTTCCTGGTGGCCGGAGGATTCTAGGGCTCCCGCACCCCTGCTTTCCAGAGCAGCTCGTGTATGAAGGGAAGGGGGCCGGTGATGACTCAGGAAACCTGCAGCTGGAGGTGGATGCCAGGCTCATGATGATGGTGATTAAAACTGACACCACCGTGTGCATAGCGATCCACACCTGCACTCAGCAGCCACCAGGTCATTAATCAGCGCAGACATCGGGCTGGGATGAGCTCAGGGCTGGGATGAGCTCGGCACAGAAGAGCAGATTGTGAGGGTCCAGAGGGGACGCCCTGGAGCCCTCCTCCAGGGTATTGCCAGACAGTGGGCGCCGGCTCACCTGGGAGCCTGAGGTGGTCATATACTACTAGTAAACGGGGGAAGGCGGTACAGCCCCCCAGGTCTGCGGGGTGGGAGACCAGGGCACCTCCCAGTGGACACCAATCAGCTGAGGGACCTTGGCAGGCACCCAGCTTCTCTGTGTCTCTATTTGCTGGTCTGTAAAAGGGGCCAGGTCCTCTGGAACTGAGTCGTTTCCCGGGGCTGCCCACAACGGTGGTGGCTCAAAACCACAGACATTGATTGTCTCACAGTTCTGCAGGCCCGAGGTCCGGGATCAGGGTGTGGGCAGGGTTCGTTCCTTCTGGAACCTCTGAGAGAGAAGCCGGCCCAGGCCGCCCTCCTGGCTTCCGCGCTGGCCGGCCTTCCTTGGCCTCCCGCGGTCAGCGGCCGACCCGCCTCCTCCTGGAACCGTGGGCTTCTTCTCTCGGCCTCACCTGGGTGTCTCACCTCTCCCTCTTGTCCTCTGTCTAGGACTCGCCCTAATTCCAGGGTGATCTCACCTGGAGATCCTTAACTACATCTGCAAAGACCCAACTGCCAAATAAGGTCACGTTCAGACCGGGGTGGGGATTGGACTCTCTCTCTTTTGGGGGTGGGGTGGGGGGTGGGGGTAGTGAGAACAATTCAACCCACAACAGAAGGCATTCATTTTGCAGAAGCAAAACCCTGGAATGTCATTCTTAGGACGCACCCTCGGGAGGAGGGCATCCATCCTGAGGCTTCCTCCCCACACCTGGCCAGGCACAGGTGGGACGGGGGTCGGGTGGAGGCGAGACCTTGACCAGAGGAGGGAGGATGCTGCGGAGAGTCCCCCTCAGCCCTCACGGTGAAGGCTCTGGCCAGCAGGCTGGGAGGACCTCGGCTGCCTCGCCAGGGCTGGATGAATAGCTGTCACCCCCTAAGTACCCGCTGCCCCTGCCTCTGCCCACAGATCTTCCCCAGGGGGCTGAGTGCTGCTCTCCCAGCTTTTTCCAGTCCCTCCACTGGCTTCCTTCTTGATAAAAACTGAGTCCTCCAAGGCACTTCGGCCCCGGTCCTGCTCACTTCTCCAGTCTCTTCCCCATCATGGCCTTTCTCTAAGCCAGGGGTGGGCAAACTTTTTGACTCGAGGGCCACAATGGGTTCTTAAACTGGACCGGAGGGCCGGAACAAAAGCATGGATGGAGTGTTTGTGTGAACTAATATAAATTCAAAGTAAACATCATTACATAAAAGGGTACGGTCTTTTTTTTTTTTTTTTTTTTAGTTTTATTTATTTCAAACGGGCCGGATCCGGCCCGAGGGCCGTAGTTTGCCCACGGCTGGTCTAAACCCTCAACTGTCCCCTCAGCCTGCATGTTGCTGCATGGCCCAGTGCCTGGTAGAGCGGGCCCCTCGTCTGGAATGTTCTCTCCCATTGTCACCAGACTCTCCCCCGAGAGCCCTCCCTGCCACCCCTCTCTGCCCCTGCTTGGTGGCCCCCCTTACCAGGATCACACTGTCGCCAACCACCCCCTTGTATAACTGCTGCTGAGTGTGCCCCCCTTGACTGGGTGGCCCCCGAGAGGCAGGGACACAGTCCTTTGTTGGGGGGCCCCCGGTCCCTGGTACAGAGAGAGGCTCCTCGGGTGTTCATAGAAGGAAATCATCAAAAGACGTGGATTTTGCCCGGCCGGCGTGGCTCGGTGGTTGAGCATCAACCTATGAACCAGGAGGTCACAGTTCAGTTCCCGGTCAGGGCGCATGCCCAGGCTGTGGGCTCGATCCCAGTGAGGGGCCGTGCAGGAGGCAGCCCACCAGTGATGCTCTCTCATCACTGATGTTTCTATTTCTCTCTCCCCCTCTCCCTTCCTCTCTGAAATCAATAAGAATATATATTTTTAAAAAGAGATGTGATTTGAATTCCATTATTGCCACCCCCCAACCACGTGCCCTTGGCTTTGCTGGGTCTCCGTTTCCTCCCCTGCCTGCCTGCCTGCCTGCCAGGTGGGCGCGGGCCTTAGAGGAGCCCGTGTCGATCGATGAGTCTTCCTGGACTAATCAGGGCCCACAAATAGGGCATCTCTCCAGGGACCCCCGCCCGGGGCCCCCAGCTCTGCCCTGGGCCGTCCTGGGAATGTGGTTGGAGGGAGGCCCACGCTTCCGGAAATTCTGGCTCCCCTCCCTGCCCTCCCGGCTCCCTGGCCTCGGGTGTACCTCTCCAGCTATTTTCCTTTCGGATCGGAGTTCCCAAGAACAACAAACCAGGAGCACAGGCCCGGGAGCCAGGAGCCAGCAGGCTCCTTCTTGTTGGCCCAGCTGCGGGCCTGCAGGGGCTCGAAGGAGGGCATTGGGTTCTGTGGGCATGGGCTCCCCTGTGACTCAAGCACCAGCTCCAGTTAGAGGGAAGCCAATGAGGGGGCCTGGGCCGGGGGAGGGGCGGGGGAGGCCTGTCCCAGTTAGAGCCCCACAAAGCTCCTTTGAAAGCAAGTTCAGATGTCCCCAGGCCAGGGGGCAGGGGAGCGGGGGGTGGTTAATAATAATAAAACAACATTTGCATAGAGATTTCGGGTACAAAGCACTTTCTCAGGGGCGGGGAGGCGCCGGGGTGGCCCCGCCGAGTGCTGGCGGGGAGGCCCATGGAGCCTGGATGGGCCCCACCCCCCGCCCAGCGTGCGGTCGTGCGCGAGGCAGCGAGGCAAACAAAGCGCCATTCATCCAACTTTTTCCGATTCCTCCGAGTTTCAGCGTCGCTTCCCGCTCTCCCAGGAAGAGCTCACCGGGGCCTGTCACTCAGGGCAGAAAGGGGGTGTCAGGAGTCCCGGAGGGAGGGGTTGGCTGGGGCCCGAGGGGAGGGAGGGGGAGGCAGGGGGGCCCCGTCCCTCTGCGCCCCCGCCCCGCCCCCACACCCTCTGGCTCCCCAGCGCCTGCCAATCCGAGCAGCCTGGCTGTGGTTGGTTTGCACAGATCCTCTGGCCAACCTGGGCCGCGTCTTCATGTTGGAAGTATGAGCTCAGGTTTCGGAAGGTCGGTGCATATGCTGCGTGTGGGTTTGGGAACAAGCAGAGATGAGCGCGTGGGGCTCTGCGATCCCTCCCCCAGCTCACACAGTGTGGGGTGAGGGGCCCTGGGGCGGCTGCACCTGCAGGGGGGCGGGAGGGGGAGACAGCTGGGCCAGTCTGTAGCCTGGCAGCCACCTGGCCCCTGATCAGACCCTGGCCCTTTAAGGGCCCCAGAGCTTTATAGGGTCCACCTGCAGGGGCTCCGGCAGTTGCTAGCAGCCCCAGCAGGAGATGGAAGATGGAAGAGGTCATTGCGGGGCTGGAGCGGTTCACCTTCACCTTGGAGAAGGACGTAGAGATGCAAAAGGGCATTGAACCCCTGCCTTTCCAGGGCATGGACAGTGAGTGAGGAGGGCGCCAGCCGTCCCTCCCCCTCTCCCTCCTCCTCCCCGCTGCTCTGCAGGCCTCTCTGCTCAGCATCTGCTGGGCAGCTCCTGCTCTGCTGCTCCCCGGGGGGCTGAGCTGGGGCCCACAGCCTGGGATTGCCAGCGTAGCCCCTCTCTTCTCAGAGGCTGGGGCCTCCCCTCCTACATCCTGCGTGGGGTTCCCTGGAAAATAGGGCTGGCTCCCCGGCTCCCAGGCTGGCCTCAGGCTCCTCCGTTGCAGACTCGGGGCTCAGGTGTTGAGGTTCCCAGGCTGGTTCTAGGGGCCAGCATCCAAAGGCAGGACTGGGGTGGGGGGGGAGGCTTTGGGGAGGTTGCTGACGGAGGAAGGGCCCTCTGGGGAAGCTGCCGCCTCTGTTTCCTTCCCCCCTTCTAGAGTCGAGCTCAGCTGTGTGCAACTTCTACGCTAAGGGGCTGTGTGAGAAAGGTGGGTCGGCAGGTGGGCCGAGTCCAGGCCACTCTGGGCTCAGCGTAGCCTCGAAGAGGGGGTTGAATTCGCACCTGGGGAGGGGAAGTCGGGATGGGGTAGAATTTTTTTGTTTTTAATCCTCACCCAATGTTATTTTTACCATTGACTTTTAAAAATATTTATATATTTTATTGATTTTTTTTTTTTTTTACAGAGAGGAAGGGAGAGGGATAGAGAGTTAGAAACATGGATGAGAGAGAAACATCGATCAGCTGCCTCCTGCACACCCCCCACTGGGGATGTGCCCGCAACCAAGGTGCATGCCCTTGACCAGAATCGAACCTAGGACCCTTCAGTCCGAAGGCGGACGCTCTATCCACTGAGCCACACTGGTTAGGGCGATTTTTTTTTTTTTTTTGATAGTGGAAGGGAGAGAGAAAGGGGGAGGAGAGAGAGAGAGAGAGAGAGAGAGAGAGAGAGACATCAATTGGTTGCCTCCTGCATGGGCCCGACCACGCTTGTCCTCTGAAGCCGTGTGGGGCCGCCCAGCTGTTCCAGATGCAGGAGACCAGGCCCCTTAGAAATGTGGGGCCTGGGGTGTCCCTCCTGCTGATGGAACAGCGGCTGATGACGGCGATAGAGCTAAATCTCACATTCCCGCTTCCTTCCTTCCTCACGGAGCTGGCTCCGACGTCATCCTCACTCGTGGTCACGCTAGGCCTCTAGAATCAGGAGGCATAATTTTTTTTTAACACATGAATCCAATGGGCCCTTAATGAGCATGTACTATGTGACAGGGACTGTGCTGTGGGGGGCAGGGTACAGGCCTGGGGACCATGCCTCTGCTCTCTGGTGGGAGCCCCACTGTGAGCCTGGAGGAGAGGGGGTGTCCCGACAGCTGGGGGCTTCCTGGGGTTTGACGGGCACCACACCAGGCAGAGAGGAAAGTCCGGGCAAAGGTGTGGCCGTGGGCACAGCCATCTCTTCGGACCATAGCAGGTCCCCCCCCCCCCACCCCGTTGCCTCTGGCCCCGTTTCTAGCCACCGCCAGGGTCCAGGGGAGGGGATTAGAGGGGGCAGCTGGGTCTACGCCCAGGGGTGAGAGGGCCACAGCTGGGGGTGACGGGGGCTCCCAGCTGGGCGCTCTGGTCCCCAGGGAGGCTGTGCCCGTTCCGGCACGACCACGGGGAGAAGACGGTGGTGTGCAAGCACTGGCTCCGCGGGCTGTGCAAGAAGGGCGACCAGTGCCGGTTCCTGCACCAGTACGACCTCTCCAGGATGCCCGAGTGCTACTTCTTCTCCAAGTTCGGTGAGGCCCCCTGGCTCCTGTCCGTTCCCCGGTGATGGCAGCGGCGGCGGCTGCGGGATGGCATGCTTGGGAGGGACCCCAAAGGAGGCCTTGCGTGTCTCAGGGGGCAGGTCAGGCCTGTCTGAACCTCAGACGCCTGCCTCTCCGACCGACGCCCTAGAGAAAGTGGAACTGAACTCTGGTCCTGGGTTATCTGCCCCTGCCAGGCTGGGGCACACACTCCCACCCAAGGGAAGGAGAGGGTGTGGCTGGATCAAAGGCCGAGCCGTTTCCCTCCGCAGCCCTGGCTCAGTCACACCCAGACTCACTGTCCGGAAACGGCCTCGAATGGGCCATCTCTCGGTCCGGGGTTTGGTAGGGGGGACCAGGCCAGTGGTTCCCCAGCAGCAGGCACGTGGGGGCCCCATTCCCGTGCTCGCCACTCCCACCAAGCACTTGTCCCTTGACCTGCACCAGCGTATAATTTTCCAACTGCTTCGCTATTTTAAACTCGCACTTTAGAAGAAAACTGTATATTCTTCCATAAGTGGAAAGCTAGCATCACTCGCTGGCAATAAAAGGTAACTGGAAACAAACAACCCTGGGGCTCAGAAGTGGAGCCCCTGAAATTATCTTGTGGGGTCAGGTCTGGGCCTCAAGTCCTCCTGTTGTCATCCAAGGGGCTGTGGGGCAGGACCCACACCACTTCTTGCCTCATGTAGGTGTGGACTCTGAATATTTCCTTCTCCCGAGAGTTCTACAGCTCCGTGCTTTCCAGAACAGGAGCCTTAAGGATGGTCTAGTCCAGTGGTGTTGAAAGTGTGTTCTGAAGAGTGACCTGGAGGAGGGAGAGCTGGGACAGCCTCGGGGCGGGGGGGGGGGGTTGCCTCTGCCGGTGGCGGTGGCTGTGGCTGTGGCTTTGAAACTGAGCCAGCTTTGGGGGCAGGTGGGGAGGTCCTGGCGAGAGCTCCTCCCAGGCCCAATCCGTTTCCTGCCTGGTCCTCGGAGCTGAGAGCTGTGGCAGTTGACGAGGGCTGCCCGCACATGTCCCTTCAGGACAAAGTTGATCTGGGGCCTGGCTCCCCTCAGTCATCGCATAAACCTCTTTCCTTTTGAAGTACTACTATTGACTCCTTCAGTAACCCTGGTTTTCTTTTGGGGATACTGTGCTGGACATGGATGCAGGAATAGGACCAGGTCCCCTTCTGCGCGTGTAAACCCATGATTGCAATACTACGTAATGTATGTTTTTGCTCTTGGAGTAAATGAATGAATGTCTCTTTCTAATCGCATGCCGAAGTAATTATCATTCTTGTTGGAAGTAAGTCGTTTTGTTTTTAAAGAGATTGTTGGGGCGTGTGGGAGTGGGGAGGGGTGAGGAAATCCGTGGTCTTTTGACCCTGTTCCTGGCTGTGCCCATCAAAAAGGTACCCGGGTGTCTCTGGAGAATGAGGTGCGGGCGCCACCTGCTGGCGATGAGAGGAATGCAGCGTCGTGCATCCAGGGCAGAAAGGCAACCCCAGTGCATAGGGTGACTTCCCGCTGTCTCCATCTATCCGGTGTTCACCAGCCCCTGCAGGGGGTTGAGGCGGGGGAAGATGTCCCTTGGATGCCTTAGAAGGCCCAGCCCAGAGTCAGGTGCACGCTGGCGATGAGACAGCTAACCCCCTTATGATGTGAGGAGCCTGTGAAAATGGACATCCCACCTGCCCTGTCTGGTCACTGGCATCTTCGCTTGTGAAAGGAGAGGGCTGGGCAAGAACAGAGGCTCCGGCCTCTTAGGGGCCAGTGGGTTCTCCTTCAGGTGAGCCCTTGCTCTGCAGAATCCCAGGGTACGAAACAGGTCTCTATGAGCAGTTTGAAAACCAATGGCATAGGCATCTCGGAGCACCTTTCAGCGCCGAAAGGCACAGAGTTGTAGGCCTTTAAGGGGGATGAGATGGGAATCCCCTGCCCCCTGTTCCCTCCCCCCCTCCCCCCGTGGTGCCTTCAGAGCCCCTGGGTCACTAAGAGACATCTAACAGTGTCCTCACCGGTGACTCTTGAGTAGTGTGTGCAAACTCCGGGGAGCCAGGTGTGTGTGTGGGAGGGGCCTTGGTCTCACCCACAGTCTCCATCCCTGGGCCAACTCTGAGGCAGGCTGTGTTCTTGGCAATTTCACCACAAAGAGCTGCACCCGACTCAGGGCGTGTCATCTCACTGCGGAGAGGAACAGTGGCCTTGGTCACAGTGCGTGGCCATGTCTCCTTCAGTGTCTTATGTCGTCTTGGGTCTTTAGCTGCCAGCCCCGGGTCCCACCTTGCCTGCTTCCTGCCTCCCCGATGGCGTCTAACTGCCTTCAGTCCTGTCCCCGCTCCTGGGTACCGGGCCTGCCCCACCCAACCGCTCCAAGTGTGTGCAACCACCCCAAACCCTGCTTAGCAAATGCTGTTGGGGTCCGCCCTTGGTAGAGTGCAGGGAGGATTAGAAATACCTCCCTGTCTTCAAAGCTGCTGACGACCAGAGGGGAGGCAAGGGGCTTCTATTCGAGGGGCAAGGTCAGTGAGGTGTGTGCGTGGGGGGAGGGGGGGCAGAGGTAACCGTGACCATGAGCCCGCTTGTCTAGAGATCGCTGGGGTTTTCAGGTGAGTGCAGCAACAAGGAATGCTACTTTCTTCACATGAAGACAGCTTCCGAGGCCCAGGCCTGTCCTTCGTACGACCAGGGTTTCTGCAAAGACGGTGAGGCCCCGACAGAGGGAGCAAAGGGGATGTGGGGGGCCAGGTGGGCGGTTGTCCAGCAGGGAGGTGGCATGTTGGGGTGAGGTCCCAACAGATGTCGTTCTGGGTTGGAATCCCAGCAGATGTCGTTCCATGGTTCTCAGCTCGCTCCCAGGAGAACCGTCACACTGTGACGTGTGGGCTGGTGTGGGCTGGCGGGCTTCTTGGAGCAGGTGTGGGTGCAATCCCAATGGCTTTGGGGTGTGTCGGCTGCACAACCTTGAACTGCTTGCTTCCTCACTTGTGGAAACAGGAGACGGCTCCATCCTAGGGTCGCCGGGCCGCTCCCATGGGGGACCCCACGGGGAGCCCTTGGCATAGGGTCGGGCCTGTAGGGCACTCGGTTCACCTACCTGGGGGTATCCTGTCACTTAAGCACGTTCCACCTGCCCCATTACAGTCAGCCACTGAGGGGACAGGGACCACAGCAGGGTCCCTGCTGAGCATCCTGTGCCTTCAGGTATGTTGCTGAGTTCTGGGCAGGGTTGCTTTGGGGGGGCGGTGCATTGCAGAGAAGGGGCACCGATGGAGGGTTAGTGAGATGTGGGGTGAGCCTTGCCTCAGCTGCGCCTCCCATGGCTAAAGGAATACGAGACAGCAAATGACCGTCTGCATCCTTCAAGACAGCGTGTTGGGGACACTTCCGACCCTCCACCTTCCGGGGTCCCCTTCCCATCTGTCACGGGGCTAGGAGCAGGTGCTCAGGGCGGTACGGACAGGGTAGGCAGTTGTACACCCATGGCGTGGACTGCGGTGACCATCCCTGGCCTGTGTTCCTCCTTTGCTAACACAGATGCTTCCGGCCGTGTCTCTGCCTGGCAGGTCCCCTGTGTAAATCCCGCCACGTCAAGAGGGTCATGTGCACGAACTACTTCGTTGGCTTCTGCCCGCTGGGACCCGAGTGCCAGTACGCACAGTAAGTGTGATCCCCGGTGCTGGGCCCGCCCTCTGGCTTCCGACCTGGATCCTTCCGTAGCTCCCGACCCAGGTGGGGAATGCAGTGCCCGGCAGCATCTGCCCAGTGTTTTCCCTGCATTGCTCCCTGGACACCCACCCCTCCCTCGGCCACACTGAACCCTGCCCCGGGCTGTTCATGTATGTGCATGCCGGGGACGGGCATGTGGCTCTTCACAGACTGTTCTAGAAACAAGGGTAGGAATGATGCTGGGAGGGCCTGAACTCTCTGCAGCCCTCCCTCCGTCCCCGGGAGGGTCTGGGCTCCTTCCTGGGTCCTCACATGGACGGTGCCTCACGTTAGAGCAGGCGATGGTGAGCGGCCCGGCTGTAACGCCTCTCTCTGCTTCCTCAGCCCCAAGATGGTCCCTTTATTCAACCCAACGCCCCGAGGTGAGTGCGGGCAGCAAGGGCTGTGTCTCACGCCGGTTCCTCACTGGGCCCGGGGACCTTGAGTCCCCAGCACTGCCTGTCCCCACTGCCCTCGCTCACGCCATCCGCCGTCTCCCCGTCCTGGGGAAGGCACACACCTCTGCATGGGTGGCACATACGTGTGGCGGTTCCTCCCAGGCCCCTCCAGCTCTGTAACCTCTGCTTCAGGTGGGACTGGTCAGCTCTCAGCCCTGAGGCCTCCCCTCCCCCTTCCCCTTCGCTCCTCACACGGGCGTGGTGTTAAAGAGCAGGGGCCAGTCACTGTGCTTCAGGCCCTGGTGGCGTGGGGTCCCTGTGGGAACAGCACTTCCTATGGACGCCAGGTGCAGTTGACGGCCTCCAGGAGGGTCAGTAAACCATGGCCCGCGGGCCAAGTCTGCTCCCCCTCCCCTTCCTGGTTTTTGGGCAGCCTGGACCGAGGAATGATTGCTGCTGAGCTCCTGTTCACTAGCTGGCCAGGCTGGGATGGCAATGGGCGGGAGGAGGGCGCCCCCTGCTGGTTCTGAGTGGCATCTCCCCTAGAAAATGGGGAATTCATAAGCCCATTTCTAACTTTGGTCAAATGTTGTGTTTTCAGCAGTGAGAATGGTAAATAAAGGCATTTCAAAGCCTGGCTTCTGCCTGAACGCCTGGCCGGGGCTGCACCCTCGGGGAGAAGGGGCTGCGTGTGCACAGAGGAATGTCTGCAGGAGCTCTTTGTTCCGTACTCTCCTGCGTCCCCTGTATCTGCAGCTCACCTGGCTGTGGGGCTCAGCCCCTCCTGCTTCTATCCGGCCACCTCGAAAGCCCCCTTTCCGAATGGGGTGCCTGCTTCTCCCCCTTCCGATGGCACCTCAGGAGCAGCTGCTCTCCTACTGCCTGGGGGCCGGGGCGCAGGGCAGGGCCCTTCAGCAGGATGGGGGGGGGGGGTGTTTTCTGTCCAGGGCTGGAGGGCGGGTGATTAGCTGCATCATGTGTGACTCCTCTCCTGCCAGATAAGAAAGCCGCACCTGGGCTTGGGAGTGGGAGGGAAGGGAGGGGGACAATGGCACCCCAAAGGTATGACAGGGACATGGCAACCACCTAATCTTGTTCTTGTTGCCAGACATATTTCTTTAAAAGGCTAGTAAGGCCCAGACTAGTTTGTCTCAGTTGACAGAACATCAGCCCGTGGATTGAAGGGTCCCGGGTTCGATTCCAGCCAAGGGTATGTACCTTGGTTGCAGGCTCGATCCCCAGTAGGGGGCGTGCAGAAGGCAGCTGATCAGTTTCTCTCTCATCGATGTTTCTAACTCTGGATTCCTCTCCCTTCCTCTCTATAAAAGTCAATACAATATATATTTAAAAAAAGGCTAGTAAGTTTCCATGTCTTACTTTGCTGCCTACGAGTCCTCTGGAGTTATTTGTGTACAGTGTCCGTAGGACTTGGGGGGCAGCGTGGGCAGGCAGCACCTGGGTTTCTCTCTCGCTGTCCTCTGGTTTATCAGGACATCATGCTTCCTCACACCTTCATGCGATGCCTCTAACTGTCCTGAACTCTGACCTCTCTGTTCTGCCCGTCAGGGTGAGAGGTAAGGGCAGACCCTCGCCCTCCTCCCACATCCGACTTCCTGGCCTGAATCTCCAGGCCTGTTTGGGCCCGAAGTGGAGCTTCACTGATGAGCAGAAGCCACCGGGTTCCGCGGAGCCAGCTTTCTCCTCTGGTTCCCTGGACAGCCTAGGGGTTTTTTGGGGGGGGGTCTGAATTGACAAAAACCAACGCCACTAACCCTTTCTCTTTCAGTGTGAAAAAATGGGCCACTCTGCCATCAACTGCACAGACTGAGCAGGTGAGAGCTCTCCGAACGCAGCCCCTGGGCTGTCTGGGGAGCATGGGGCCTGCGGCCTGGACCCCGTGCCCATTCTGCGGGCTTCTGTTCCCAGCGTCCCGAGAGCCCGCCGTGGCCTGAACGGGGTGCGGCGCCGAGGGGCCTGCTCAGGTCCGTTTACTTCCGCCCGTCCTGCCAGTGAATGGGCGACGGAAGGTGCCACAGGACCGGAGGCAGGGCCTGTGGCAGGAAACAGGTGTGCAGGAGCGGAAGCTCAAGTCCCCGGGAGCCAGTCGGGGCTGCGCGGGCGGGTCCTGTGCACAGGCCTCCACTGCTGCCGCCAACTGGCAATTGGCGCAAGCGGCTCCTCAGCACGCAGCTGCATGCCTGCTGGCTCACGTCTAAGGCTATCTTCATGCCTGCCTGTGCGGGGAAGTGCCGAGAGGTAGATATATGAGCAAGGCTTACCCTTGCACAGGGAGGCAGGACGTGACATGGAACTAAAGTTTAAGGCTGTAGATGCCGACACCAAGGCACTGAATCTGCTGGGAGGAATGGGGGCGCTAAGCTGTGCCTTTTGGGGAAATGGAGGAAAGAGCTACTCCCTCTGTCCCATAATAATAGTAGCAGTTGATGAATGTAATTTGTCCCATAATAATAGTAGCAAAAGAAAATAAATATAGAACGCAACATTTATTATCAAAAAACTAGATTAAATTAAACAATAAATTAAAAATAGTACTCCTAATTTTTGAGTGTTCAGATAGTTTCTGGATTTTTCAATAACTTCGTTACTGCATTTTAAACTTGTAGGTAGGATCCCTTGGCTGCGAAGCTTTGCTTTCCCTGTATGCGTGAGCTTAAAATTATTGGCACCATCGTTCTTCATTGCTTCCAGCATAACTTGTTGAAGTGACAGAAACGTATTATCCAGTATTTTCGGGAGAAATATTATCAAAGGCTAATATGGTGCCTCTTCTGCTAAGAGGAATATGTCTTAAGTTTTTCAAGTTTTTCTCCATAATCTTTGCATTTACGTCCAGTTTTATTTTTTCAAAGAATCAGCATTAGCATAAGATTCTCCTTGACAATTATTTTCGGAAGCACGTTTCCAAATTCTTGATATGGCCATTCTGTTGCACTTAAATTGTTTTGCAGCTAACGTAATTGCACCTTTCTGCAACTTTCCCTTTTTCTTTTGATGCACCAAGAACTGGACAATCGCAACTCGATCTTTGCTTGAAAACTTTTTTTTTCATCTTACTTTTATAATGGGTTGATATTCAACTGAAATAAAACAATTGATTTCGATCAGCAGATGAAATTAGAAAAATAGTTATAATTCGTAATAATTAGATTAACCCAAAAATTGAAAGATGTGTCAAAACAAATGACAGATGTCATGAAACATTGATTTTGATTGAAGGCTTCGCAATTTTGGGCTACAACATGACTTACAGCTGCATTTGCCAATCATTCCCGTTTAAATACTCACTTGCTACTATTATGATGGGACAGAGGGAGTACAGTGTAGGGCGTGTGGCAGGACTCGGCCTGCCCGTGGCAGGTGGAGACAGCTCCCTGCCTGCCAGAGCTGGAGCGAAAGGGTGAGGCAGCCTGAGGGAATGCTGGCCCTGGGAATCGGGTCTGGGAGGCCCAATGGCCAGCTCCCCCGGGGCTGCTCTGTGACAAGTAGCACAGTTATGTAGGCACCTTACCCTCCCAAGTCTCATTCGGAAAACGAGCACAACAGCACCTGCCTCACGGGAGTGGAGAAAAGGAGAGCGTGCACTAAGGAGCCCGCACAGCACTTGGCTCTGACAGGGCGAGCGCCCAATGGCAGCTGCACTTTTGTGTGGGTTATGGTGGGGTCTCTCTTGCTTGGTTCAAGTTTAGAACCCGAACAGAATACACCAGCAGAGGCTTTAGAAGAGCTGTTGTTTTCACTCCTACTGTCCAACCTTGCTGGAATTAACAGGTGCCAGACTTCTAATCTCTGTAAAGTAGGACTTTTCAGTCTAGACCAGTGGTTCTCAACCTTCTGGCCCTTTAAATACAGTTCCTCATGTTGTGACCCAACCATAAAATTATTTTCGTTGCTACTTCATAACTGTAATGTTGCTACTGTTATGAATCGTCATGTAAATATCTGATATGCAGGATGGTCTTAGGCGACCCCTATGAAAGGGTCGTTCGACCGCCAAAGGGGTCGTGACCCACAGGTTGAGGACCGCTGGTTTAGACCAAGGAGGCTCCAAGAAGGAGGTAACTTGCCCAAGGACACAGGTGAGGGTCTGGAAGAGGCAAATAATCAGAAGAGGAGGAGCATAGGGTGGAAGCAGGTATGGAGAGTAAGTAGGAAAATCTATAATTCAGGAAGAAATGGCAGACCAGGGGATGGAGATAGATATATATATATATATATATATATACATACATACATACACACACACACACACACACATACACACACATATACACACATACTAGAGGCCCGGTGCACAAAATTCGTGCATGCACAGTTAGGGTCCCTAGGCCTGGCTAGCGATCAGGTTCCCCACTTCCTTCTTCCCTCGCTCCCTCAGCACCTGGCCAATGCTGGTTGCCTGCCATGTTCTGTGCCGCCCCCTGGTGGTCAGCACACATCATAGCAAGCAATCGAACTCCCAGTCTCCCAGTGGAACTCCCAAGGGGACACTTTGCATATTAGCCTTTCATTCATATATATATATATATATATATATATATATATATATATATATATATATATATATATATATATATATGAGATATATAATCACCCCCTGTGCTAGAAAAGGGGCTGAAGAAAGTTATCTGTTTTGGATATTTATAGACACATTTTTCTATCTGTAAGTATCCAAGTTACTCTCTAGGGGCCAAAACAGAAGTCATAAAATTAGAAAACTGAATATTTTGATGGGGGAAGAGTCATGGAAAACCCATCAGCCCCAAACAACCCTAACAGAGTGAAAGGAATGTTCTTGAACAGGGACAGGGCAGGATTCATGCTTCCAGGACGAGAGGATAAACTGAAACCATTTGCTCACTGCTGTAGTCACTTAAGATGTACAAGAGGTGAGTCAACATTCTTCTCAGTGCACTATTTGCAGCAGCTTTACAAATACGTTAAGAACCTTTCACAGGCTCGCCAGCAACTCTGCACCCACCCTACTCTGCTTTTGTTTCTCAAACCTGCCCAGATCTGAGGGCCAAACCATTCCCGAGGGGACGGGCCAATGTATGCAGATTTTCTGTCGATGCAGCTATCTATACAGGCAGTCCTCGGGTTACCAAACTCGATGTACGTCGTTTCGTGGTTACGTGGCCATCTCCCATTTATTTATAAAAAAAAAAGTTCTGTCATTTCAACGTATGTACATATGTGCTTTGTTTTTTATTATTTATGTACCACAAGTACAAGTCAGGAATCATTATCTGATTTCTTTTAAATTTTTTTTACTGTTTCACTTCATTACTGCTGTGTATGTGCTCCATGTGAGTGATGTAGGTGCTTATGTAGGTGGGTTCCGACTTTCGGTGAAAATTGGGTTATGTTGCACCGAAGGAACGAATCTCCGACATAACCCGAGGACCTACTGTATATATAAAAGGCTAATATGCTAAGTGTCCAACCGTCCGGGTAATGATGTCACATAGCAACGCCCAGCTTCCTCTCCCTAGTGACTAGCCTCCCTGCAGTTTCTTCAGCCCAGAAACACGACTTGCTTTATAGGCAGGTGGAAACATTTCACACTTGAACCAAATGTCTGTGAAGCATTTTCCCATGCCTCATCTCATTTGATCCTCACAGAAGTCCTGGAGTAGGTAGATATCAGAAAGCAGGACTAATTAAGCAAGTTTATTTTATATATATAAAAGGCTAAGTTGACTCACGCATGAGCAATACATATAAAGCTCTTGCTGGCGCCAATTGCACGTGTATTTCCATCTGTCATTGATCGTGAATTTGGTCGACACTTCTATTATAGAGAAAGGGTGAATAGCGATATTAAAATATTTCTTTCAATTAATTTCCTTTCAATGTGTATGAATTT